TTGGAACAATGGCATCTGCACACATTGTCTTCTACCTGATATGTTTGTTCTTGGGTGTAATTGGTAAGTTTGTGTTTAACCACAGTCTAATTCTTTTAAGGTCTTTTTTCTCAGCTGCCATGTTCCACAATGTGTATTTGCTTTGTCTTTCATTTCACCACAGCTCAGAAGAACAACCTGCATTTATCCTCCTCTGTTCATGAAGAAGCACGTTTTATATCAGCTAAATCTGGAGACAGAGTGACTTTACATTGTTACTATGAACACAGTGTTTCTGCACGTTTTTACTGGTATAAAAAAACTTTAGGAGAGAAACCAAAACTCATTTCTAACTTCTATATATCAGAACACTATTTAGTAAAATTTCATGGTCCATTCAAGAATAATGCACGCTTCAGACTAGATAATGAAAAAGGAAAAAACCACTTGATTATCTCAGACTTAAGTGTTTCAGACTCAGCAACTTACTACTGTATATTTTCCTATTTCTACACATTAATGTTCTTAGAGACCATTATTGTCAGTGTCAATGATTCAGATTTAAACATACAAGCTTTAGTTCATCAGTCAGCATCTGAGACCATCCAGCCAGGAGGCTCTGTAAGTCTGCACTGTATGGTTCACACTATGCTGAGCTGTGATGGAGAACACAGTGTTTACTGGTTCAAAGACTCTGAAGACTCTCAACCAGGACTCATTTACACCCATGGAGTCAGGAATGATCAGTGTGAGAGGAAAGACAACAAAAGAACACACACCTGTGTCTATAACATGAGAATGGAGAGCCTGAATGTGTCTCACACTGGGATCTACTACTGTGCTGTCGCCCCATGTGGACACATACTGTTTGGAAACGGGACCAAGCTGGAATTTGGGGGTAAGTCACTTTTCCAGCAGAGGTGACTCACATGGTATTATAAATAGGAGCAGATCATATTCGATGAACTCAGGAAGAAAAGCTAAAAAGCTCTTTCATTTCTAGGATTTACAATTCGGCGAGATTCTGCTGCCCTGATGTATTTCTTAAGCGCAGCTTTAACACTCACCACCATCATCAGTGTGTTATCAACTTTTTTAGTGTATAAGATGAAAAGAAGTAACAATTGCCAATTTAAAGGTTAGAATTTTCGTTCATATTTTACTGTTGTGTTTAAAAATAGTGGCATTTAAGTTTAAATCATTTGCTTTATTTCTCAGCAGACTCAAACGCAAATGATTCTGTAAATTTAGAGGTGAGTTTTAAAGTGTGGAAGTTCATGTGTTTTTAGGAAATGACATTTCTTGTTGAATTGTTATCTTGATTCTTTTGGTATCCAGAGCACCCAAGAGGACAACCTTCATTATGCTGCTTTGAGAAAAATTAGGACGAAACAAGCAAGAAGACAGACGAGCAACACCCAGGAGGAATGTGTGTACTCCGGTATAAAGTAAACATAAGAGACAAGATGATTCTTAGTATTACCTTTCTAACTGATTTAACTGCTAACAGAATTTGATCACTTGCATATGTTTTAAATTCCTGTAAATATAATTCCAGTAGATAATTTGTTTTGGATTTTGGGTTTGATGTATTTTTGAGGTTCTGTAATTTTTAGTTGTCTCTTTGAAGTTGTTGTTGTGTTGACTGTTTTTTATCATTTGAAGTTTTAATTCTTAATTTTGGTGAGTTTAATATTGGATACTTCCATATTTTATTGCTGTATGCTTGTGATATGATTAGGTTTTTGTGGTGGTATTTACTGTATTCAAACGATGAGGCTTAGTTTTTGTGTAAAAATGAAAAATATTACTGTGGGTATTAGTCTCCCAAGTGTTCCCGTTTATAATGACTTTCTCCTGTGTGTTATTTCTGACCAGTTTAACATTCCCAGTTAGTATTTATAGTCCTGTCTTCTCTTTGTTCTTTGTCTCTGTGGCTGTCTATCTCCACCCTCTGCTCTCTCTGGTTTCTGAGGATCTCTAAAATGATTTTTGGATTTCTGCTTTTTTCTATTTTGTAATTCTGTTTGCAACCTAATAAAAGATTAGCTTTCTGTCTGCCTTCAGTCCTACACTTTCATCATTAATTTTTCAAACTGTGGCAAGCTTGACATCATTCACATGAAGGATAAACACACTGTATTTGTAAAGTACTTGAAACATGGAAACATAAAACTGTACTGGCCTCCACAGTCATCAGATTCCAATCCCAAAGAGCATCTTTAGGATGTGGTGGAATAGGAGATTCACATTGGGGATGTGCAGATTCCAAATATACAGCAGATGCTATCATATCAGTATGGACCAATATGTCTGAGCAAGGTTTTCAGCACCTTGTTGAATCGATGTTTTGAACAGTTAAAGCAGTTCAAATCAGTGTTGGATACTGATACACAGAATGAAATTCAATGTCAATTCAGTTTTATGTAAATATTGCCAATTCAATCCAACAATCAACTCAAGGTGCTTTAAAATGTAAAGATCCTGCTTCAATAGAGCGTATCCCAACAATAATCCCCATTGAGCAGCAATACTCACTTTTAAGAGGAAGAAATCTCCAGCAGAACCAAGCTTGGGAAGGCTTTGGAAAAATGGAGCTATAGAGGAGAAAATGGAAGAGCACAGAAAGACTAAGTTGGCCGGGACAGGTCCTTCCCTCTCTCTTACCTCTTCTATTTAAGTAGTAGTGTGACAGCTCTTGGGTGTCAGATTATTGTCTCAGTCTCAGGTGGTAACACATCAACCATCTTTTTTGTGCTACTTTGATTAGCAGGACATTCACGGATCGCGTGAAAGAAAGAAAAGAGATTCAAAATAAACAGTTATTGTAGTATAAGAAAATACTTCTTTACAGTAGATACTAGATAATGAAAAAAGCTTCCTGCCAGTTCTTGACGCTCACTGCCCAACCATTCCCAGGATTATTTGGATGTTGATGTTTAAGTTATTTAGGTGCGCTAAGTTCATTTGTTTATTAGATTCCCTTTATGTTTTCAACCCCAGTGTTTCATCTCCATTGTCCTTTATGTGTTTCATGTCTGTATGTCTTTTGTTATCAAGTTCATGTTGTCATGTCTGCTTTTCATTACATTTCCTGTTTTATTTTGAAGAGCTCCTGTGTTCATTGTGTTTAGTTTTACACTTCCCCTGTGGCATCGTTATGGTCATTTGTTTATGCTGTTTCCCCACTGTGTTCCCACTTCCCTCAATGGTCTGCTGTGTGTATTTAGTCTGTGTTTTCTCATTCAGTCTATGTCAGGTTGTCTGTTGTTTTCTATGCCATGCTTCAAGGTTTCCATGTTCCACGGCTCAGGTATTCATGTCCAAGATTATCTGTGTTCATGTTAGGGTCTTTTATGTTGTGCTTTAGTTCACGTTTAAGTTCCAGTTTTTCCCTTGCCCTCTTTGTTTGTAGTTTTTTTGCCAGCCCTCAATAAACAGCTCACTTTTTGTTTATTGTGTGCACACCCTGTGTGTGCATATGTCAGTGTGGATGGATGCTAATGAGATCAAGTTTTGTTTCATGTTCATTTGTGTCTGCATTTTGGGTCCACTCCTCACTCCATACAGTCTGCCTCAGCGAGACTGTAACAATTATTCAGTGTCCAAAAATGGCTCTGTGTTAACCTGGCGGAAAAATGGCAACCTGTTCAGGGTGTAACCCTCCTTTCAGCCAATGGCAGTTGGTATATTCTCTGCAACTCTGAATTGGAAAGTGAAGGAAAAGAAAGAAATGTAGAAACCAGAGACCAAGAGCCAACCCTCAGTTACACTTTGGGAGATTTGCAACAAGAGCAGAAGAGTGTGGCTGATTACATTGTGTAATTTTGGGGGATTCTGGCAGAGTAAGCTGGTTGGGAACCAAGGCTCTCTGTGGTGACTGCATGAGGGACTGCAACATTCTGTGCTTCACGGAGACATGGCTGACCCCCACCATGCCGGACCAGGCCGTAACTCCGTCGGATTCATTCTTTGTGCTCCGCGCGGACAGAACGGCAGAGTC